TTATTATTATTATTATTATTATTATTATTATTATTGACATTATTATTATCATTATTATTACTACTACTATTGCTATTATTTTTTTATATTGTTATTATTATTATTATTATTATTATTATTATTATTATTATTACTACTACTACTACTACTACTACTACTACTACTACTACTACTACTACTACTACTACTACTACTACTACTGCTATTATTATTATTATCATTATTATTATTATGCTTATGAAAATCATAATCATTATCAATATTATCCTTATGATGGCAGCCTCTTTCGAAATCACCGGTACCCAAGATTTTGATTTTGCATTATCATTATTATTATTGTTTTTTATTTCTATTTTTATTATTAAGAAGGAAATGAGATAGTGGTAATGTGTGGCAAAGAAGAAAAGAAAGAAGAAAGAAGAGAGAAGAAGAAGAAGAAGAAATAAAGTGGGTGTAAGGAAGACGAAGAAGAAGAAGAAGAAAACGTGATTAACAAACCACAAAGGATGTTCTTTTGTGATGTTCTTCTCGTGAATGTAAATAGCAAGATGTTGAAAATACAGTGTGCTTTTTTTTTTTCTTTATCTCTCTCTTTCCAAAAAAAAAATGTTCCGTGAAGATCAACACACGGAGGAAAAAAAAAGGAAATGAAAAGTGAAAAGAAAATGGACAAGGAAAATGCATTGGGGATGCTTTGCAAGCTGTGCATCTTTTTTTTTTTTTTTTTTTTTTGAGGCATAGCAGTTTGTGATCATAAAAATGACTGTGTGCATGAGAAGTCATTCTATGAAGGACATAGACATGTGTATTATTACTATTATTTTTAATATTGTGATCTGTAGTTAGTTGACATAGCCAGGAGGTTAGACTTTCCTGAAGTGAGTTTCGGCACAATTTTTACTTCTTTTGGAATCGGAAATGAACTTTCTCAATTAATACTGTACATGTGAAGTGTTGTTCACTACTGAGTGAAGGATGGTACAAGTAAGAGATTACTCTAAAAATTTTGTTGAATTTCGTTCCCTACCCCCCCCCCCAATTTTATTCTTGATTTAATCTACCCTCAAAGTTTTTTTTTTTAATAACAAAAACGTATGAAAGGGTTCTATGATGTAAAGATGTGAGAACTGCAGGCATGGACGTATTTTTTTTTCATTGCAAAAAGCCAGCTGGTCTTGAACGTGAGCGCAGGTGGTGTGAGCTGATATTGGACAGGTGGTCATCTTGGGTACAGTGCTTTTGCTGATTATTTTCTCATCATTTGCAAATATCTTCTTTCAAGTCTCCATTTTTTGTACTCTCTTAACTCCAAGACTAAATAAAATATCTGAAGAGATATACACAGGAATAACGCAATAGAAATTTTAAAAAATGAATTTGGATAGTGTGCTTCAGTGACACTCATTTGTATAAAAAAAAATAGTAAAGCCAGTTTAGAAAACGTTTTGAAGAGTGAAACAAAGCATAAGGTTATATAGGTGAATTCAAATAAAATAGTGCCCTATGCAAAACATTTTCTTTAACATTTTTTTTATTTTTGCCAAAGTTAAGAGTGATTCTTCAACATTGTTATAATTATTATAATTTACCCATTTTCTTGATTGTTATCAACGTCTCATTTCTTCTGTAAATGTTAAGACTTATATTGTTTTTTTTTAACTACTTATTTCGGAAAAAAATAATACCCCCATATGGTTCTTTACTTGTTAATGCAGGTATATGGAAGAACACAATGCTAGTATTCTGTATCAGTTATTATTGGTATGATTGTGAGTCTTTTAGAAGTCACCCCAACATGGGACATCAGATATATATGTGATGTTAAAATGTAAACAGTGTTCCACGTGGCAGAAACGAAGTCTTGTTAATGTTAACGTGAAAGTGAGATACATTCTTGTGTTAGATATGATGATGATGATGATGATGATGATGATGAAAAAAGATGTATCCAGTGGAACACAGATATGGTGTTATCACGTTCTTTGGAAATTACTAGTTCGGGTATAACCTGAGTGAACAATTTCCTTGAACAGGTGTGTGAGGGAGTTCTCAAGTTCTCTCGTCTCCCCTGCTGTTCATACAAGTTGCATAATACTGTTGTATGGTGATCTGGCATATAAATACATAAACAAAAAAATAATAAATACATACGTAATGATAGAATTCTTAGTCCTGGCCTGTAGCACAACGGGCCGGTCGTTTTTGATTACGCTGTACACAATAGGGAATGGATGGTACGCTTGGCAAGGTGAATGTTGAATATGTACGCGAATCTCAATTTGTGCAATGCTGTCCATATGGCTTTTAATAAATGGTGTAAAAAGTTATAGCAATGATACTGTAATCATTGCAGTAGATTGTTGCCTAGCAGTAAGAGTCTCTCCCCCTGACCTCTCCTTCCCCCCCCCCCCAACTGCCCTCCTCCCCACCTCCCAACCCCCCCCATTCCTTCCTTTTTTTCCCCTTTCCCCTCCTACCCTCAACATTACGTCCCCCCTCCCTTCACCTCCCCCCATAACCCCCTCCCACATCTCATGTCTCCCCCCCTCCCCCCCCCCTACTCCAACCCGGTGTTATGTGAGTTAACCAGAGCACAGCTGATGTGGCTTTCCGCTCTGGCTTCTCCTACGAGACATTTCACAGAACGTGCGAGAATTTTTACAAACATAGGCCCCAGACTGTACCTTATTCTAAAGTTAAATCCGCGAAGAGGAAAGCAAAACTGTTTAAAAAATAATTAAAAAAAACGAATAAAATCTTTTAAAAAATATATTTCCTTTGTATAATTTACAATAGAAGTTCGTTTAACTCTTGTCCAACAATCACATTATTTTCCATCAATAAGGGAATAATATTGAATTTTTGTATTTAACTGTTATACATGTTTTTTTTTTCTCTTTCTCTCTCTCTCTCTCTCTCTATCCTTTTAAATTTGGATATGTATAAATACAAAAATTATATTTTTGGATGTGATTGTTATGTTTATTATAGAACTGTCAGAAAAAAAAATGTATTATACTTGGTTAAGAAACCTATATTTATATTCTCTCTAACTATTTGTGTTCATTACCTATTGGTTTCTCCCACATTATATTTCATTATACTTTATATTTTTTTCTTTTTTTCTTATTTATTATCATTTTTAATTACATTTCCCCCTCCCCCCCGCGATGATTACGCCTTTTTTTCAAAGTATACGAATAGTTTTAAGAGTTAAGCAATATTCCTGTAAAAAGTTGTCTACTGTAAATTAACAATGATAATGATATGGATAATGATAAAAAAAAATAAAAAAAACAATCTTTCTAAAGGCATAGAACACGATTCAAAAATAAACTGTGTCCAGATAATTGTTGCTTTTTATTCCCCCCTTTCGTAAGAGGTAAATAGAAAGATAGAACAAGAAGGAAAAGAAGAAGAAAAATACAAAAAGGAGATACAAATGATAAAGACAATGTGATAAAAATATGGAGGATGACTAGTAATTATTACTATAATTAAAACGGTAATGATGACATTGGCGTTATAATGATAATGTTAAGAAACACTGGCAGTAGATCGTAATATCGAGGATAAAAAAAATCACGATGAAAATGTAAAAAAAAATTATTATTATTATTTTTTTCTTACAAAGCTAATATATATATATATATATATATATATATATATATATATATATATATATATATATATATATATATATATATATATATACATATATATACACACACACACACACACACATATATATATATATATATATATATATATATATATATATATATATATATATATATATATATATATATATATATATATATATATATATATATAATGTATTCCTTACCATGATGGAAACCACAAAGACATAATAATGCTGATAGTAAAACTGCCATAATAAAAACACAAGTTAAGTCACGTTACACATATCATTCCTGCACAATATGATATATCAACCAAACATAACCAACCTTTTTGCAAACAAGTTATATCTTGAAGCAAAAAAAAAAAAAAAGAAAAAGAAAAAAAAAAATGACCATTATTTTCATCAGAAACTCAAATGTCATGATAAGAAACAACAAAGATACTAATACCAAACTAACGTCCACTGAGTCACAAGAGCTGAAGATTTTACACCCAGAGAACCAACCAGAGATTAAATCCACGCTATGTTACCTTCATTAATAATACGGTGATGTTTAGTGTATGATTTTGACGATAATAATCATGGTATTGGTAACAACAACAATGACAATATGAATAACATTTATGATAATAATGATGATAACAATTATGAAATAATGATAATGCAGTAATGATAATATCAATTATTATAATGATAATAATTATAGTAATGAGGATGATGGTGATGATGATGATGATATTAATGACAATGGTTATAATGAAGATAAAAATAATGATACTAATGATAGTGATGATGATAATAATGATGATAATGACGATGATGATGATGACGATGACGATGATGACGATAATGATAATGATGATGATGATGACGATAATGATGATGATGATGATGATGACGATAATGATAATGATGATGAAAATTAAACAGTGATAATGAGGATAGTAAAGATAATGATGATAGCATTAATAATGATAATAACGAAAATAATGATTACAATGATTATGATCATAATTTTAAAGATAATAAAGATAATAACATGATAATAGTAATAATAACAATAAGGATGATGATGATGATGATGATAATAATAATGCTAATAATAATAATAATAATAATAATAATAATAATAATAATAATAGTAATAATAATAATAATAACAATGATAATGATAATAATGCTAATAACATTAATAATAGCAGTAGTAGTAATAATAATAATGATATTAATAATAATAATAATAATAATAATAATAATAATAACAATAATGATAATAACAATAATGATATTAATGGTAATGATACTAATACTAATGATACTATTATTATGATATTATCATTATTATTATTATTAT